GAGCAAAAATATGTTCGAATTTCATGTCATATCCTGAAAATTTCATATGCTGGGACATTCGTATCCTGAGGTACCACTGTATTTAATTATAGCCTTTACATAGCCCAAGAATTTGGCATATCATTTGGCATGTTTATTATATAACAGGCTATGGTGGTTGAAGTTTATTTGTAATATGTCTGAACACAAGTTTGGAAAAAATATGTGATCACAAATGACACTAAGATACTAGCAGAACGAGTGCTAAACACAGACTGATGTAACACGCACACAATTTGGGACTTCCCCTCTCCTCGTCACTCATTATGTGAGTCATTTTTTTACAATTTGTTTTGCATGTAATGAAAATTACTCATTATGAGAGATAATCATTAAGCAAGTTCCACTGTAAACTATTTTGTGATTATGAGATGGCACAAGTTTATAAATCCTTAATATTCATTTGATAAACAAAACAAATGAAGTAATTCAGCAAAGCAAATATGAATAAATAAATATAAAACATAATAAATTAAATATTAATTTTTAAGTGTTTTTGATCAGATGTATATCAAAACTTTTAATTTTTCTGTTTCTATAATAACTTAGTATTATTTTCTTCAAATAGAGCTTTAGTCTCTTGTACTTTAATCATTGTTTATCTACAATATTTGTATCTTCTGGATTTGTTAATCATCTATCATCATAAAGAACTGATTGTTCTTATCACTATCACAACTTTAACCAACTATTGAATAGTATAAATGTGCATAAAACATTCTCCATTTCAATCATTTCACATTCCATTTCGTTCACATCACAAAATGGATAATTCCCATTGATCAGAAAGTTATTGCATTTTGATTGATTGTCATTTATGTTGTAGTGATTTTTAGCCATTGTTTAATTTAAATAACTTGATGTTAACACATTGGAAAAAATACTCCATTTGCAATTATGTAATTCAATGCAAAAAATAAAATAAAATTAGTTGTTGTTCTATATTCTGTGCTATTTTTATTCTATTAGTTTTGATTTTTTTCAAAACCTTCATAATTTTGATAATTTCTTTGCCATGCAAAGCTAAATATAATTATAATTTTTGTTTAATAAGCTTTTTATTAGATGAAATTGAGTAAAATTTATGCTTATAATTTAAACAAGATCAAAGAATTATATAAACTTAATACCATATTCAAAATTCCAAAAATAAATTGTTAAGTTAAAGAAATTGAAATATTTATTACAAAAACTTTTTTCAGACTAATTCAGTTTATCATCAGTTCTCCAAGTGGAACTTAAGACACAATTCAAAAAATAGAATATCAAATTATCAGTTGACATTAGAAATGAACTAATTATTTAAATGATACTGTAACTTAGTCAAAATAACTGTCTATAGCTGATCTAGATACAAAAATATTTGGTTGTGTTTCTCAATGTTAAGATGATAAATCCTTTTGAAGATAGGCTATTGTGTGCTTTTGATAACATGCATATTTAATATTTTTGTAATAAAATTTATATACAAAGCAAAAAATAATTGAATAATTAAAATTGATACAAATAATATAAACTTAATTTTTCTAAATAAAATAAAAAGTTAATTTTAACAAAATTCCACTGTACTTTTCATTTATACGCTTATAAAGTGTCATTTTTGAAAAACTTTACTTTTATTTGAAAATTTATTGAGCAACAATAACAGTTGGAGTTTTAAGGTTTACTCAAATTTCTTTCTTTCAGAAATTAATATATTCTATCATAAACATACATAAATAATAAAAGTTTTTATATCAAGATCAAAGTTTCAAGTGTGCTATTGCTGCTATATTTCTATACTGTTACTTAGATAGTTTTTTTATTTTTTAACATCTTAACTATAAATTTTTGCAATTTTCAAAATTAAAACACTATGCAGATTAATCATCATCAAATTCAATTAATTTTAAAGGCATTAAACAGAATGGTCTAAAAACAATGGTAAAAGCTGAAGCAAAGTATTTTTGCAATTTTAAAAAAAGCTAAAGTAAATAATCCACAGCAGCTTCTTAGAATATATCATAGTAATACAACTAAGTACATAAATTACATGAATAATGCACTAATGAACTTTTAATTAATTGAATGTTAATTAAATTAACAATTAGAATATCCCATAATGAGAATAGTAACTTTAAATATTAAAATAATTTTTAAAATACATTTAAAGAAATTAAGATATTCTCTTCATTACATTGTATCTCATTTTAAGACCAAAACATATCTATCTTAATTTGGCTATATTACAAAAATAAAAAAGTAGCAAACTGTCCCAATGCTAGACTGCAATTTTTAGATCTTGATGCACAATGCTCTTGATTTTAGTAGTCTTGCCCCTGTATATCATACTTTTCTTGTCAACAAGAGTGTCATGGTCATCTTTTGCTTGTTTAGTTATGGCAATGCAACACTTGGACAATCTGCCTAGGGAGGATGCCTTCCGGGAGGTGTATTTTAAGAGAAACTGGCCCTATTTAGGCATTACAGATGTGGAGAAAACCTGGAAAGCTCCACATGGCCAACTCATCCGAGCAAGGCGTGAACCCACGACCAGACTCCAAGTATTCAGGGAACAGATTTCTTGGCCACTGGTGGGCCTTGTTGGTCATCTACTGTATCTGTGTTCTGGGGAAAATTTTTGAAATGAAGTAATGCAACTTCTGGTTTGACCAAAAGATTGTACTGTACATGCATAGTTAATTGAGGCCTCTGGCTCCTAAGCTTTCCATATCTGGTCTTGGCTTTCATCTATCTAACTCAGTTCTCAAGATTAAGGAATGACAGACAGACAGATGGTGCCAGTGGGAATTTATAGGTTTGCAATTTTAAACTTGCAGCCCAATAACAACTTTCAATATTGGTTCATTCTAAAAATCAATACATCATATTACATAAATGCAACACTTTTGTTTTCAAAATAATTTGAACCAATGTTAGCTATACTGAATATAACAACTTACAACAAATAATCATAATCTTAAAAATGATCAAACTGTATTTGAATGTGTTGTTATATATATAAAATTGACAAAATTCAATATTAAATTTTTCACATAAAAATAAAAATGATTTTTGATTATATTTTTATTTCACAGATTATTCATGATTTAATCATTCTCCCAGTGAACAACTAGATCATAAACAACAAAATATATCTATTTGAAATTGATTTTAACTTTTTGAAAAATAAATTGTAATCACCAGATCACCTTCTGTACTTATATTTCAATATAAAGCAGAATAAATGCAAGAAATCTTATTTCATTTTACTTTTTCATAGAAAATTGTATTTGTTTGTAATTTAAACATTTTGTGTTATCGTAATACTCAAAATGTAATTAAAAATGAATAAAACAATAGATTTCAAGAACAGACTGACAAATAATTTGAACCAAAAAAAAAAATTTTTTTATAAAACAATTATTTAATTGCATTTCATAAATTTGCTTGTACTTTGANTTTAAAATGATAACATGTATTACAAAATGATTTGTTTCTGTTACTTTTTTGTCATTTAGCTTCAACATGAGACAAATCATTCATATTAAAATGTAACTATAATAATACATATTTTTATTCTTAAAACTATTATACGTTTTAATCTGTGTAATAAATGATGTAAAAATTGTTGCTGTTAAATATGATTAAATTCAGTAATGTATAAAATGGGACAAGTGCAGCCTCTTAAATCTTTTTATATTTGCAATTTTTAATCTGAAATGGTTGTGGCTGTTCATTTTATCCAAATTCTCTATTATCTGAGGTGTCATCAGTCCATGTTACTTCAAACTATCAAGATTCTATTGTAATTGTTTTGAATCTGATTGAAATAAAGTAATAAAATTCTTTTCTAAGTGAGAAGTCAAATCCATATCAGTTAATAGAATTCGGATATTAAGTCCTGTTTGTCCTATATATATTTTATATACTTACATAAGTCCTATTCCATTAAGTCTAGCCTTTAAGAAGATTGAAGCTTAATGGACAAATGAAACCATATCTATGAAATAACTTACACGACTATAAAGAAATAAGACTTAAATAAAGTATAGGAAATGAACAAAGATTTAGGTTTGATATATAATATGGATAAGGACAGTGTGTGATACTTTAAAATGTATGAACCAAACTGAATGTATTATCTATGTTTTTTTTTTATCTTTAGAACTTGTGTTCAAAGATGGAAAAGAATAGAGAAATATTTTACATTAATTCATGTTAGCATGCGCATGCACACACAGACAATACTACATCTTAACAGTTTTTTAAATAATATATACAAAATTTAAGTCAAATTACATATCGTGATTTTAAACATTGCAAAATCTTTGATGTTTAAATTGTAAACTTTCGTAATATTGTAATAATAACAATAATATTTATGTATGTGTGAGCAATACTGAAATATTTGTATCATAAAAAAGAGTCACACAATTTTTTAATTTTAATTGTATAAAAGACGATAAAAATTGTCATTAATTAACTTTCCTAATATATATCCTCTATGTTCACAGAAATATATTATTGTTATGAAAGATTAGGCATATTTGCCAATAATGATAATATTGTAAGAATTATCTTTGTGACTATTTTATATTCTTGATCATCATTGTATATTTATTTCAAATTATCTTATAATCATCAGCCTTTTGATGCAAAAGAATTAGCATGAAAAAGTATTATACAAGCAAACAATTATTTACAATTTCACACATTATTCTTAAAACTGGATCAATATGATTAATTTTTATATGAAAATTTTATATTTTTACAGAGCATTATACACTTACAAAATGATTTTTCCCATACAAAGTACTTACTTATTTTTTAGTAAAATAAATTAATTTTTAACATCAATAAACATTTTTTTAATATTTAAAAAATTTAATTTGAAATTAAGCTTCACTTTAATATTTCTATTTAAATTTTAAATATGTTTTAGATCCTATATTATGAAATAAAATTAAATAAAAACTTACCATTCCTCTTCCTTGTGATTCAAGAAAAATTCATTTATTTGTTGTCTTTTAAATTCTAATTTATATTCATTATACTTTTTCACAGCTTCTTGATCATCAATAGCATCATCTTGAGAGCCAAGAAATTGTTTAAAAGTCATCATAGGGGGTTGTGTTATACCTTGTTCCATATCTCTGAAATGAATAAAATTTTCAAATATTTCAAAATTATTATGAAACAATACTTATTTTTTATATTATAAATTCTGAATATATCCTTTGTATATATTCAATATGTATTTTAATATTAATAAAATTCAAATTTACATATTAAATCTTCAAATATAATTAAAATTTGTTGGCGTAAGAATTTCTATGAAACTTGCCACAGGAATTCAATTTTTGCAATTGATTCATGCTTTCACAATAACTGTTTTTACCTTAAATTCACATATTTGTTTTAAATTAACATGTTGTATTTAGGGCTATATGCTCACCAAGTTTCATTTGAACTGGAAACCCAAATGTCTGTGATGTATTTTTTTGAATTGGTCAATCAAATGCTTCTTCTTATCCAAAGTATGTCTACAGATGTATATAATGATGCTTTTCCATAAATTTCATTTTACAATATATATTTTGTAAGTTATAATCATAATATATGATTTTCTTATTTAAAATATGAAATTACTATACTTCTATTATACCTATTCAGTTTTAAGTAAATCTTTATTGTGATATGTAAACCTAATAAAGTTTATGCAAATGACAATCCAAATCAATTGAGCAATCAGAATTTTTACAGAAACAATATATTTATATATATAAATGAAGATGTTTATTTGTTTGCTATGCACGCCTAGATTGTTCAACCAATTGCTACAAAACCCAGCAGTTGCATTCAAATATCTATAACCTAGATCATGTCATACATCCCACCCAAAATTATTGATTCGATTTCTATATATAGATTAATTTCTGTCTACATTTGATTGCTGGATTTACATGTAGCTATTGAAAAAAAAGTTAACAAAATAATTAACTAAATATAATTCTTACAAAAAAGGATATAATTTTAAAAATATAGCCTATAATATTCACTGAAAAAGTGAACAATGACAAAGTATGAAAAAGATGCACTATTTCACCATTACTGCAAAAGGTAGCACATAGCACTTGTCTGTGTGGAGTGTTTTGCTCCTGTACAACATACTTTTCCTGTTATCAGTAGAGTCATGTTGATCATCTAACACCATTCAAAATTTTGAATCAAAAGTAATGTTACTTCCATTCCAAACCAGAAGTTTATATATAATTAATCTGAATCTCCTGGTCTAAGCTTTCCACATCTGGTCTCGACCTTCATTTATCTAACTCCTTTCTTGAGATTAAGATAGGACAGAGGGAATGACAGTCAGAATTTATTGGTGTACAATTTTTCCAAATTGCAGCCCAATAATTTTTCTATAAACACAATATTTAAGAGAACATACTTCCCATGTAGTTTATACAATCTGTTGCCAAAATTTAAACACTATTACCATATAAAAGCAATTATTCTTGCATTTTTACAAGACTTTTTACTTAAATAAGTCTTATATGAAGCCTTTTGGACATTATGGTTAAAAACTTCAATCACATGCAAGACTATCACAACCTGTCTAACATGAATCACTTTTCAAATATAAATAGTACACCAGTATTAAGTAGTAGTCATTGAACATTCTCTCTTCCAAGAGGAGGTCAACTACTACTTTTGGTCAAATTAATTTCAACCCCCTTCCGCAACAGTCCCTTCTTTCTATTGGATCAGCAATGTGATGGCATTCAAATACTAAAATTACATAATACAATGTTACTAATGAGTGAAAAATATGATTTAAGTGGTTTTTTCCAAGGTGTTGAGCTTAATATTTGGTCTGTTCTTTTGAGAAATTTGATTGGTTGGCAGATTACCATTTGACATTTGCTGTGAATGGTAGTTTCTTAGAGTTAATATTAGAAAAAATATACAGTAGATCGTCAGTTAACCAAAAGCATTCCAGTCAGACTTTGTCCTGCTGAATCAAATGTTTTTGATACTAGATTAACTTTTAAAGTATAATTTTTTTTGTTTTCATATTTTTCAATATATTTATTTTGTTTATACAAAATAAAAAATAATTCTTAAAGATACAATAGCCACGATTATTATTATAAAAATTTTCGCTAGGCTTAACATCGATGAAAATTCAACACAAAACAATATGCAACAGAGAAAAATTTAAACATGGGATATATTAATATACTATTATTGGGATATACTAATATACTATATTAATAATGTATTTTTTCATACATAATCGGTTATCCAAAAAATCAATTTTCCGAACATCAATTTTCCTAGTCCCCCAATTGATTCGGATAATTGATGCTCTACTATATCATCATAAATTTTTTAATACATCGCATTTTCAATTGATATCTACTTGACCAATAAAATTGTGCCATTTTGTACCACCCAAGTATTGTGATAAGCATAGCAATGGTAGGCTGAAATAACCAAACTCTTTATATGATTTTTGTTTTAACATTTGTTATATTACAGTATTTGATTTATGTAAGTACAAAGGTTTATCACACCGAGTGAGCAATCTAACATATTTTAAAAATTCTTTATTCTTCTACTGTACACAACTTAAAGAATTTTAAAAATGTGTTAGCTTAGTCACTTGATATGATAAACTCTTATGTAAGATAACCTTTATAAATATAAATCAAATATTATAGTATAATATAATATAAGTGTTAAAAGTACAAAATAATCTAATAATCTTAATTTTTGCTGTAGCCATTTTTTGCTCAAATCAATTGAGCAATCAGAATTTTTACAGAAATGATACATTTACCAATAATCCTTTAAAACTCAAACTTATCCTTTTGTTTTCCAATAAATAGTTATATTAAACAAATCTACATCTATCATTAATAAGCATTTTTATAATAATAGTGAAAAGTTTTATAACCATCAGTGAAAATATACTGAAACAATTAAAACTTATCCATATTCACTAAATTTCACTTTTAAAAAAATTAATTAATGATTAAAAGATGAAACTATTTCAATATAATACCAAAATGAACTCAATAACTGATTACTGCCATTGGTTTCAGTTGAAAANATTATTGGGATATACTAATATACTATATTAATAATGTATTTTTTCATACATAATCGGTTATCCAAAAAATCAATTTTCCGAACATCAATTTTCCTAGTCCCCCAATTGATTCGGATAATTGATGCTCTACTATATCATCATAAATTTTTTAATACATCGCATTTTCAATTGATATCTACTTGACCAATAAAATTGTGCCATTTTGTACCACCCAAGTATTGTGATAAGCATAGCAATGGTAGGCTGAAATAACCAAACTCTTTATATGATTTTTGTTTTAACATTTGTTATATTACAGTATTTGATTTATGTAAGTACAAAGGTTTATCACACCGAGTGAGCAATCTAACATATTTTAAAAATTCTTTATTCTTCTACTGTACACAACTTAAAGAATTTTAAAAATGTGTTAGCTT